TACATAAGAATTCAGACAAAGAACAGGAATTTAGGATGACTGTTCAAAATCAGGGAGGTTCTACAATATTCTGTAATGTTGGCTGGATAACCAATAAGAGAAGCTGGGTGCTTTATCACATTCTTCCGATTCTGAGTACCAAACATGATAAAATGCAAAGATTATAAATATTAGCCTTGTAATTATGAAAAATTTCACCTGTACCAGTACCGGAATTTTTTCAGATTTTGCCAGTTTCTCTTCCTTAGGATTTGGCTAGGTGCGTGGCTAGTAGGAATTTTCGACAGTTTGGTTGCTGCATCCTGTGGATGACCATTGAAGGATGATTCCCTAAATAGTTCTTTCTCTACTCAGCTCTATGGATGAGGCAAAGTTATCAGGCAGGTAGTTTACTGCTTTCAGGGCTTTCATGGAATCACTGTTACATGGTCCATTTCCCCTCCTTCCAGAGGAATACATTCCTGTGCTACAATCTACCACTTAGTCTGTCCAGTGGCTCCTTAGATTGTGATTTTCCTGCACATTGTCTACAATAAAAAGAAAACACTCCTCATAGTCCCTTCCACGTGCCTTCACATCTGCATCTGGTGTAGCCAAAACTACAAACATGTTTTGTAAGTGGGTGGAGTTGAATCAAATAATTCTGTCGGATTGTTAATAAAAATCAGAAAACCCTGCACTGACCTCAGTCCCTTGGGACTTGCCTGTCACTTCCACCAGAACTTTACCTTGTATTGAATGCATCTACTTCTGTGATGTTCTCATTCCCATCTGTTAGAGAAATCAAAAAGTTATTTAGCCACAAAATCATTCATTAAAAACAAACGAAACCAATTTGAACTTATGCATCCAGCCTTAAAGTTTAGCTGTTAATGTGAACCAAAAGCTCATTCAGACATCAGGTAAGCAGGCATGCAGGTAAACAGCCTCATTAATGCTTGCACCCACAGCCTTTGGAGGCTGTTCTGGAAGTTCTGACTCCAACAGTCTGAATTTCAGGTGGTCAAGACATGCAGATTTTCTATCTGTCTATCTGCACCTATATAAACATATTCAGAGATCATGATTTTATATAACTAACTAGCTGGGTGTATGTTTTAAAAGAGACTCTAACTCAATAGTTGCAATTTTACATAACTTAAAAATATACTAGTGTCTCTTTTCTTTCAGTAATGCTGCTAATACAAAGCTGAGCATTCTCTTTGAGTTTGGATGCAGGTTTAAACCTTTTCTTCTGTTGAACTATACAGACTTCAAGTACCTCCAGTACAGAATGGACATAAAAGTAACAACGTGGGAACAACAAGGAACATGCACATCCTGGGAGTGTGCAGAACTACAGACTTGCAGATGGTTAGGCCAAAATACTTGTTCCTCTCACTTAAGCATTTCAGTGGGCTATTAAATCACTACTACTACTACTGGTAGAGACTAACTACCACATTATGAGAACTGTAAATGACACTGTACCTGTGGTGGGTGATATAGGTCTGCTATCCAGCTGGACATGGTCTGCAATTATAAGAAGAGTCAAATGTACATGTATTTTACAAACTACTTTGCACATAAGATACTAGCTTGTCACATCTATTTTTCAAATGTTATTAATGCCTTTTGCAAAACTAATATAGCTATGTATTGACAGAGGACAAAAGTTCTTGCAATCCACTCCCCCCAAAACAGATCATAAAATTTTGTATTATCAAACTTGAAGACAGAAAATATAGTAAGAACAAGACACAGAAGGAATAGAATTCCTGGGCTACAGGAAACTAGGAAAAGATGGTTTTCTTGATAATTTAATCCTGTTTAGTAACTCAGTCCTTGGCTTTTCATTGTCACTGTCATATCACAGCTTCATTCACTTAAACACTATTTGAATTATCATGATTTATGAAAAGTTTTCTGTTTGTCTTACACAGGAACAAGCTTGTTCTAAAATCCGATTGAGACCAACAGGACTACCTGTCTTTAATTTCGTGAAGATGGATTGCTTCAAAGGAATCAAAAATCAGGTATGCACTAGGTTACACTGGAATCTCACGGCATCTTTGCCTGGAAGCGTTTCCGTCTCAACCATCGAGACCAAAGGGCAAGGCACTTAGAAACAACCAAATGGCACACAAAAGAAATCCCTTGAAGCCTAGCTTTAAGCCTAGCTGCGTCTCCGAGATTCCAACTCAAGTTTTGCTGCCCTGACTTCTCCTGCCCTCTTGTTACACGCCGAGGACTTTCCCCGCTTCCCTGTCCGGCGGCAGCGCCCGGGGCTGCAGGGGGGTTTTCCCCCGGGCAGAGTGCCCTGGATTTTCCTGCAAATCCATTTCCTCCTGGGCCGCCGCCATCCTCCGCCTCGCACCTTCCCCGTTCCCTTCCTGCTCCCGAAGGAAGGGAGGAAGGAAGGGCAAAAGCAAAGGTCCCGCTCTCCATGACCGCCGGCAGGGCCCTCCGGGCAGCGCCCCCACTCTGGGGGAAGAAGCCCCGCTGTCCCCGGCCCCCCGCAGACATTCCACATCCCGCTCCCGCTCCTGCTCCGCCTGGCCCCGGCAGGAACCCAAACCAGCGGCGCGTCCCGGCCCTTCCCCGCCGCGTCCCCTCCGCACACGCACCCGCACCCGCCGGTGACCGCGGCTCCGAGCCTGACATCGCCGTGGACCAAGGCACCGGCTGGACAGCGACACAAACCGAGCCCAACCGAGCGAAGCCGGCCCGTCTCTTCCTCTCCCGCGCCTTCCGGGGGGTCAGACCCCTCCTCCCGGGGGCGGGCGCTTGTGGGCCGCCTCCGCCAGCAGCGGGGCGAGGGAAAGCCAGGAAAGCCCCTGGGTGAGGTGTCAAAGTGCGCCGTGTGGTACCTGTGCTCCTACTTCAGCGGCCGGGGTCAAGTAACTGCACCGCTGTACAAAACCATCGTCCTGAAATATGGTGAGACCATCCCCTATTCACTTAGTTTAAATTCTTCAAAATTGTACTCAGATTCCCATTTCAGGCGCATAGAGTTTTCTTTCCTGTAAGGCTCCTGTTCCTCAAAGTGCGTTTTCATTCGAGCACCCACACACAATCCTTGAGAGGTTTGGATGTGTGGATCATTCTGCAGCTTTGCTCTGTTCTCGCTTCAGTTCTCTTTGATGATTTCGGAACTGTGAAGCGAGTGACAAGGTATTGACGAGTACCCAGGTATCTTAACGAGTATTCTCCAACCGGGAATTAGGCGGCACTTACCCGTCACTGATCAACTGCATAACAAATTTCTAAACCAAAGCCAATGACAAAAACCCTTCTTCTTTATAAGAAGAATTTTCTATCCAGCCTATTTTTAGGGAGATAAACTCAGATATTGATGTGCAGTTAAGAGGGTGCTGCTACAAGCACAAAAAGAAACAGAGAGTGGAATTACAGGCATTTTTACCCAGTCTGATTTTACCCAGGCTTCTTGCATGGGTAAAGATTTAGACAAGATGTCTCCCTTTGATTAAAGGAGTCATGGGTATTTTTGATTACCTTTACTTGTTTTTTTCTTGTTCGGACTTGTTGCCCTCAGACTGCCAGTAAGCAGCTGGATCAAGATAGAACTTTGTTTCAATTGTTTTTGTGCATACTTTAGTTAGAACATGAAACTATCACCAGGTTTGCATCTTATATTTAGACTCCTACCAAGCAGATTCATTTTTTGGTAACTGCAAATCCCAGCTCTCACAGCTCACGCTAGAGCCGCCCCTGAACCCACCGGCAGCGAGTCTCCCGTGTGAAGCAGCAGCGGCAGAACCAAAATATAGGACTCTGTAACAGCAGTTTGAACTCCTATCAGCCGTGTTCCTCAGTCCAACAGTTCGCTTAGATCCTTGTAAGACAGGGTTTTTCTGCTTTGTTTTGCTGGAGGCTAAGAGCAGACTCAGCCGCTGTGTTCGGATGAGTCACCGGTAACTCGATCGCACTGTTTGCAGCCCCAGGTAGCGCTAGGCTGGTGTGCGTTTCCAGCTCATTCTAATGCATGGAAGTTTTACTGTGAGACATGGACATACGTTTAGAAACACTTTCAGATTGTTGCAGTGGCTGCTAAGTAGGTGGATAGTTTTGGAAAAAGCTTTATGGATGGATCAGAACTGCAGTCTGAAGAAAGAAATTTGATTGTGGACACACACTGCTGTACAGTATTACTGACTACATAAAAACATGCAATATTGAGTTAAATGAGCCGCTGTCTATAGATAGTTTTGTTATGCTTTAATCCAGCATGAAGCTAAACACCACAGGGCTGTTCACTCACTCCCCCCAGTGGATGAGGGAGAAAATCAGAATAAAGGTAAAGACGGTTTAACACGACAGAAAAGAAGGGGAAGATAATAATAAAAGGATATACAATACGAGTGACACACAGTGCAGTTGCTCACCACCCAGTGATCGATGCCCAGCCAGTCCCCAAGGAGCGATCAGTGCCCTTCCCTGGCTAACTCCCCCCGAGTTTTATTGTTCAGCGTGATTTCATATGGTGTGGGATATCCCTTGGGCCAGCTGGGGTCTGCTGACCTAGCTGTGTCTGCTCCCAAATCCCTATGCACATCAGCATCCTCACTGGCAGGGCAGCAGGAGAAGCTGTGTTTTATCAACATTATTTTCATCCTCAAACCAAAACACAGCATTGTATCAGCTGCTAAGGAAAACATTAACTTCAATTGCCACAACCAGGACAAGCATTACATGAATTATATGAATAAATACATGAATTACAGTGGTTTGGACTCACTGTGGTATTTTTGTCATTTTAAACAGACAACGCCATTACCATTCCCTGCTTTAAAGTTAAAAAGATTTTTAGGGTTACGACCATGGAATTCCAGGGTAATTCAGAATTGTTTCAATTCTTTGGTGGAAAATAAGTGTCACCAAAGTTAGGGGAACTACAGGTTCATCTAGAAAAGTTTCATAAAGCTCTACAGTAATACTTCTCTTTTAGTGCTATTTCATATCCACAAATAAGAAAAGAAACCTTGAGGCATGACCAAATTACTTTTGCAGAAACTTATGTTTATGAGGCCCTTACATTCACTGTCATGTACACTAAGCTCTAGTAACAAACTAAAACCACAACTGGTAAAGAAAAAACACACAAAATTATATTACATTATAGTCCATGAGTCCAGTGAATTTTATGCATTTAGTTTCTATTACCTGTTCACAGATGCCAATATTTCAATTTTCATTCCTCTCCTGTGAATATCTAAAGCAGAACTGCTTTTTAATGAAAGCAAATCATTATCTTTTTAACAGAGGACCTAATGCAAAAGTTAACTAAGAACTGACACCTGTAGATAAGCAAAAAGTACAGAGAGTACAGAGAGCAAACGCCAAATAATTCAGACACCAGGTGATTTTAGCTATAGAAGTCAGAGAGGGAACAAGTGACAGACGTACAGGCTCATATATCCATTAGCCTCACAGAGGGCATCTTAAATTTTGGGCACCGTGATCTTAACTGTGGAACTTGAAAGCAAAGAGGAATACAGTAGTCAAGTTGTGCCACAACAGAAATACAAATCAGCATATTTCTACATATATCCTTTCCATGCATACAATACCCAACACAAAATGTTTTATTCAAAAACAGACATAAATTGATGAATTATTTAAAAATAACATAGAAACTACATTTCACCATTCTGTCAAATCAAAAGTAGACCCTTAGGCTGCAAACTGTTCATTTTACTAGAGAGCCCTTAAAAGGATCAACATATCTGATCCGAAAAGTGCTGCAGAAGCAAGACATTGATATAGAATCAGGTTGAAATATGCAGTGCATGTACATTGACTTGGGGCATTTTCCTTGTTTCTTTAACAACAAACCTGCAGGACCACATACACGAGAGAGAACTGAAGGCAATTGCAGCAGAAACACGCAAGTACAGGCTATGTAAGATGTCTTATATTGGTACGCACAACACACTCTTTCCTGCTGAACCCATCAGATGCTTCAACTGCTAGTAAACCTAAAATTTGACCTGTATTAAAAATCACCTGAGAATTCAATATCTCTCTGGTGCCTCTGACGTCCCCACTATGGAGTTTTCTTGGGAACATTAAAATGGCACCAGCATTTTAAAACAGCATGCCCTAGGAGAACATACACCAAAGGAAGGCAATTTTAGTTCCTAAGCTTCTGGCATAAAATGGAGAGAAGGACATCTTGTTTCTTTTTTACATGAGTAAGAATATTGTAGTGATCTTCAAATCAGTAAATTCATGTCAATGTCTAATATATCACTGTCTGAAAAGGGCAAAGGTTTGTAACCAAAGCCTTGCTTCATTTTGGCTGAATCTTCGGCTTCATTCTACACCACGAGATCTCAGTGTCTTCCTTCAGAGATCTGTTTTGCCCTCGTAGCGACACATACAAGCAGCTCTCTGGCTATCCAGGTATGGTTTGCATCCTAAATGTATAACTGCATCAAACAGCAGCTGAACAGTTGACTCACAAGCTGCAAGCAAAGAAGAGTTTAGTTAAAAGTATTCTTTGGGTGGAATGTGAAACTAACAGGAGAAAACTGGCAAACCGGGAATGACTCAAAGAAAGAAGCAATCTTCTCTGAGCATAGCAAATAGATTGTCAAATCAAACACTGAACCAACACAGAGTCATTAAAGTTTTGAGTAAAGGTTTTTTAATATGCCAAACAAAATGAAAATTCATTGCATATGGAATGTGATCTGTGTTGGAAACATATTGAGTCTTGGAAGATGGAAGAGCTGGTTTACCTCCTCGCTCTTTGCACCCCAGTTTATGTATCAGCTCAACAGAATTGAACAAATATTCAGCAGTTCTAACACTAAAGACTAACATGATGATTTATTTACAGTTAAGTAAATTTGAGAGGTTCAAACACAACATTATTCTAAAATCTTGCTGCTCTCAGTGGGAGTATTTATTGTGAAAGTGACATTGTCCGAGTTAAAAAATGGTTATGTCATGTATCCATCAGATGCAGGCCAATGACCAGAAGAAATATCACACGGCCTGTTACTAATATTTATTCACTAGAGGACAGCATTAAGTACTTCCACTATGATCGTATCTTATTTTAATACCTTATTTCACAACAGGGTAAGAGTCTTTTTTTCTGACCTCTCTCTGAAGAATTCAGACAGGCCTCTGATTTACACACTCCAACACTACAGTTTACTAGCAATCACACGCAGAAGTTTAGAAATCACCCAGCAGAACAGTCATGTTACAGCTGTGTTACAGTAAATGCAAGAATTATACATGCATTTTGATCAAGTTGTATTCCCATATTCATAGTCCCAAATGGGAAGCATTATTTTTCCCCTAAAGTTAAAACTAACCTTAATTCAAAGTTAGTTTTAACCCTTATCATTTTCTTCTGCTGTGTCACTGATCTGCTGTACAAGCATCTGGGCTGCACAGCAGAGGGACATAACAAAGCATCTTTCATCAGCTTATGAAAATGTAGCCTTGCTGCACTGCAGAATATTCTTTGCCAAGCTAAGTTTGGGTTAAATTTGAAAAAAAATATATTTTTCACACTTACCCTGGACACTCTCTGAGATTCCAAGCGTTTTCTGCACATCTCTGCAAATTTTTGAGAGGCAGGTCTGAAACTGCTCATCACAATCATTTTTTTTATTGCCACAAGTATCATAGCATCTGTCGTGGTGATTGCAGCACCTTGTCATTGAAGGGATACCAATGTCAAACTGTGAAGAAAACACACACACACCTCCATTGGTACTCCAGTATAAGAAAAATACAGCCTATGGACACAGACTGTAAAAGTTAAAAATTAAAACTAACGTGATGGGTTGAGATAAAGACAGTTTAATAGATGAATAAAAGACAAAAATGTCCCAAAATGAGCAGCGCAAAAACCATTCACCACATTTCAAAGCAGAGGGGATATCAAGCCAGTCTCTGAGCAAAAGCCACCTGGAAGTCATACACAGCTCTACCATGACCCCCTCCCCACCTTCTCCCACTGCTCCAGTTTTTATTGCTGAGCACCACTATATAGTATGGAATATCCCTCTGTTCACTGTAGGTCTGCTACCCCAGCTGTGTCCCCACCCAATCTCTTGCCCAGCCCCAGCCTACTCTGGGGTGGTGGATGGGCAGAGTGGGCGGATAAAGAGAAAGTCCCAAAGCTGGAGGACAACAAGCTCACTCCTATTTTCTTTCTAGCGTTAAGGAAAAAGGGTTAGTGTCAGTAAAGACTGCAAGAGTCATAGCCAAACCCTCCACTCTCACACAGCTACAGCTGCAGTTATTCAACACCTTCAGGGCTATGCAAACAAAATACTAAACCAAACACTCAAAACGCAAGAAATTTATCATCATTATTATGCTTGTAATCTTTGAAAATGTTTATGCTATTCGTTTACAATATGAACACTTCCCATATGTTGTTACCAGAGCACGTGTTAGGAGCTGGTAAGAACAGGGACCTTGTATATGGATGCTGTCTCAGAAGGGGGGATGAAAAATATCATCTGCATTGAGGAAAGCTGATGTATGAAAGCCACACAAAGAAGCCCCAAAATGGAAATACTTACCTGAACTCCAAATACAGGGGATCCACAGCCATTTGGTGGTGATGGTTTATATCCATAGCGAGGAACAGGCCTTGATCCTGAAAGAGGTAATTTGTCATGTCACAAATAGATTTTTTGCATAGGATTTTAGTAGTTTTAAAACTTATTTTTCACTGGATTTTAGTAGTTTAAAAACTCACCACAGACATTTGTTTGGCTCAAGACAGTATTGGTTATATTTTTAACTTAAAAACATATATTCAGGCACCTGCATATCAACAATTCTTTCCAAATTACAACTTACGGGTACTAAGCAATTTTTTTTAGAAAAGGGGACAAGGCACCTGAGCAAGTGTTAATGTTTGCTTCCCAAGTTTAAAAGAAAACAAACTAAAACTAGAATCAATGTGTTGGTTAAGTATGCAATAGATAGGAGTATAGTAACAGAGTACTTTAGTGTAAGTTCATTAATACTTCCATGCTTTATATGCAATCAACAGTAGTTCTCTGATTTTTCTTGTCTGAATTGAAGTGAAACATCATTTTTATTTCTACAGCTGTAACATTAACAGAATTTAAATTAGAGAATGCTAAAGTCACATCTCCCTGAACACTCGCTAATGCAGGAATTCTGCATCTCAAGTTAAGGAAGACTGTCTTCCTTAAAGAGTTAATTTGAAAAATGACCCTCCAGTTCATTTCAGTATTGGAAACAATCTGAGGTCACAATTAAAAAGTAATAGAGAGGGGGGGAAAAAAACACATTTGAAAGATGCATATTTTAGTACAGAATATAAGTGTCCTGGCCACTCTTGTGGACCCAGACAGGGTGTCACCACCAGACTCATTTCCTGACTTAACAAATAATCCAGCACAGTAAACTGGGGTGATGTGATTCCACCATGCCAGGCTAGATGAGCCTCCCATTTTGGGGTGCTCTTGGAGCGCCAGTGAAAAGTCTGGAAAGAAATCCCATTTCTGGAGCATTGCCTGCCGGGCACCCGGGTTGGGCACGTCAGGGGAGGTGATCACCAAATGGGTCAGGCTGGACCAGTGAGTCGTCTGGTCCAAACGCCCTGCTCAAGGCAAGGTCAACCTATTAATAATAGTCTGAAAAATAATAATGATGATGATTATGATAATAATAATAACCATTATCATAATCTATCAGGTCATGCCAACTTGAGCTGCCTCAATTATTGTTCAGGTAAATCAGGCAGCTGAAACGCAGGGAAGAAAGAAGCACAGATGTCCTCTGCTGGTACCAGCAGGATTTACGAATGGCAGGATGCATTCCTTCCACTGGCAAACGCGTCTCCCATTAAAACCTGTTCCTCAAGTGTGACTTCGAAACAACATATTCCATAGCTTTTCTGTCCCAAACCGAAATGCTCAGGAGTGTTCGTAAATACCCAGCCGGGAGGGAGCAATTCTTCCCACTCCACGGTTTTTCCCTGTACACATCAGCTACCTGTCTGACAGTAGTAAGCCCTTCTCCAAGGCAAACATCTTGGAGACGTTTAAAAGGACCTATTTAAAAGTCGCGTTAAGAGAACTCCTTACGTACACATGCTCCGTACACGTTGTACACGTATTTAAACACACACACACGTGCAAGAGCTTGCTCGCTGAGGTTTATACACGTATTTACAGGTATGTACGCCGGTAAGAGCCCGGCGGGGAGGTTTGCCCGGGGAGCGGCGCTGGGGCCCGGCCGCCCTGCCCGGGACAAGGGTCGCGCCGCCAGCCTCGCTCACCGTCGCTGCACTTGTACTGGCAGAGCCCGTCCTCGCCGCCCAGCAGGTCGAGGGCCGCGTTCAGGTACATGTCGATCTTGTGCACGCCATTGCGGATCGTCTTCAGCGTCATCCGCCAGTCCGGGGTCTGCGGCGCCTCCTGGCCCCGCGCCGGCCGCCAGGCGCACGCTGCGACCAGCAGCAGCAGCAGCAGCGACAGCCGGGCGGGGGCCATGCCGAGCCCGCTAAGCCGCCGCCTTCTCCTCCGCCGCCCGCCCGGCCCGGCCCGCTGCTACTACGGCCACGGCCGCCATGGTCCCGCGGCCCCGCCCGTGCGCCCGACCGCGGGGAGGAGCGTCCAAGGCCGTTCGCCCCATGGCAGCGCCGCGGAGGCTCCGTGTCCCTTCTGCCGTGTCCACTCTGCCCTCTCCCTTCTGCACTGTCCTCTCTGCTGTGTCACCTGTGCGGTGCGCGGCCTTCCGAACGGGAGCAGCGACAAGCGTGCCTGCCCTGGCACCTCGGCAGCTCGGCGCTGGCTGGGCAGGGCCCCCGGAGGTACCGGAATTTGTGGTGATGTTGGGTGGGAAGGAAACTCACCCGGTCACGTTTGCACATGTGAGTGGTTCTCTTTCCATCGTCAAAAGTGCAAGGCGAGGTTGCAAAGCGGAGCAAAATGAAAGTGTACCTGTTAAACGGTAAAAGTCCAGCCCTGATTTGTTCAAAAGAAAAATCAGATCAAAATGAACTTGCTTACTAAGCACCGTGTTTGGTTTTCAGAATTAAAAAAAAAAAAAAATTCTAAATGCTAGCTGCTTCACAGATGAACTGAATTGGACCCATGTGAAAATTGTTTTAATTTTTGTAATGAAAACTCTGATTGATGTTGTGTGGAATCCCTCAGAAAGCTATTTGGCTTCAGGGCAAAACTTAATGTAAAGAAGAACAGGAAATGGAAAGAAAACCGAGAGAGGTTCAGAACAGACGGGGCATAAAGACACATATTCTACTGTTGTTGTTTTGCTTGGTTTTTGTTTTTTGGGTTTTTTTGTTTGTTTTTTTTTGTTTTGTTTTGTTTTTTTAATTTGCAGTCTCAGCATTTAATATTATGTGTACTTAACTAACGAAATTGGTGGGAAAAGTTCTTCACGGAAAAATTAAGTCATACAAAAGAGGGAGCTCTTTGTACACCTGTCCAGCCTTTTCTTGTTTAGGATTTCTTTAGCAAGACCCTGATTCAGCAAAATAATTTCTGTGTAGGAATATACTTAAACACTTTTCTAAACAGCAAACCTCGTTGAGGGTGGGTGTATGTGTGTTTGTAGGAGAAGGAATTCATACCTTTAATTATCTTGGCGATTGATGGTATCTTTACATGACAAAGTCATGCTGATGTGAGGTTTTTACAAGTCTGGAAGATGAAGAAAAGTCAATGAAAACGTAAAAATTGTTATTGTTTGACTGTGGTGGATTACGGAAGAAATAGCACAATGACTGTGTTGTGTGAACATTTGCCATTTATTCAGCAGGATAATTAATTTAGAGGAATAAAATAAAATAGATATTGAAAGTATTTGTCATTAGAATACAGTGAAAATGTTCTAAAGCTATTGATCATTTTCACATAACTGGCTGGAGCTATGTGAGTTTTGTGTTGAGGGTACCAATCCACAAATCAAATTCTACTGCTTCAAAAAGAATTTGTGTACACTTTCTGTGAACAGCTCTTGCTGAATGTGAAGGTATTATGTATAGACTGATGTTTTCTTTATGATAGCAAGAAGTCTAACTTTGTATCTGGTACTTGTTTTTGTAGAATTAATTCTATGTGTATAAGGTATTGTCTTTTTATATATTTATATTGCTATATAAAATGCATGTGTATAAGAATACATATGCACATACAGTGTGTGATAGTGTGTAAAGTAAAACTCAACTTGGTGTTGAGAGTTTGTTGGATACCTGAAATATATATACATACATGGTGACCATAAGATGTAAAGATGCTTAAGATTTAAGTTTTAAAATTCCTTTGTTGTTTGTGACCATCTGCTGTTGAGTTAATAAAACTTAAGAGCTACAAAAATTGCCCCAGGCTAGATGATCAGATTATGTATATTAACTAGATATGAATTGTCTGAGTTTGTAGCGGCAAAAACTACCAAGCAGATTTATTATTTGAGTAATTGTTGCATCACAACAAATCTCATGGTCACAGCCAATCTGTTGATTAATAGATGGTCTGAAGTCTACTTCTGCAGTAGGCCTAAGGAATCAAGTGCCAAGCCAGGCAGCCTGCTATGGGTTTCTGGTAACTTAGACCTCGAGATGATGTAAGTTCTTTAAAGCAGGCTGGCTGCTGTCCTTTCTGTGAAGTTCACATGTTGCCAGTGGAGTCATTTTCCAGCCACTGCTTCCAGTATCATTATCCCTTTTAGCTAAATAAACAATGGCAACTGGAATACCATGTGAAAAGTGGGAAAAAAACAAGATTACAAGAAAAAAATATTTTAATATCTGCTTTGAGACCTTAGCAGTGGACTTGTGCCTGTAAAATTCTCTTTCCACAGGCTCTGCATAAATGTGGTATTCATAGAGTGTTAAGAATTTTTAAAATATATTCCTTGAAGATTTGTATTGATTGTTGCTAAGTTACATGACAGCTGATTGTGAAAAAGAACTATTTTTGCATAGGTGATATGAAGGAAGCATTTAATTTTCCAAGCTTCAGAGATTGTACCGTGAAATGAGACCCCTTGTCACATGGTGGCTAATCCAGTCATAATAGCTGGCAACTTGTGTGTACACGCCAGGGTGACCAGCCTCCCCACAGTTCTCACCCCAGCTCACAATACCCCAGACATAGGCCACGTTTTCTGCATCAAAACAGACCAGGGGGCCTCCTGAATCACCTTTACAACTGTCTGTGGAGCCATCGTAAGTACCTGAAGAGGAAATAAAAAGCAAAAGTAAGTTAAGGTACAAGCTCGCACACGAGGCAGAGCTCAGTAGATTTTTCAGGTCTGTGTTGCCTCCTGACAGGTATTTGCCTAATGGTCACCAGTAAAGAAGATTCTGAACCTCTTCAAGTCTGTTACTTCTCATTTCAAATGCAGGGCCTCTCTTTATTCTTGTGGCTGGCCCAAATTTTCATTTGCTTTTTCATCAGTCTTGTTTTATGCAGTGCAATAGAGAAGAATTCAGCCACATTCCCTACTATAAAAAGTAGCCCATAAAATGGAACAAGGTATAAAGATTTGTAGACTGATTCCTTTGGAAGTGAAGATCCCATAATGTGAGTACACCTCCATGTCTGTCTTTGCTGTCCTCTCTACCCAGTAATCCATCTTCCAGTTTCATCTGTACAATTATTTTCTCTACCAGCTTTATGAAAACAGGTGGGCAGGTACAAGAAGGAGAGCACATAAATCCTGGGATGGGAGGGAGAGCAACTGTCTCTAAGTGCCCCCACTGCATGGTCAGTCTTGGTGAGGACCTTTAGCAACACCAGGCAGCAGCCCTGAGGCACAGGTGTGCAGGATCCAGTGCCCTTTATGCTTCAGTGTTCACAAACCTACTCATTTGCAGGTCAGCAAACACAGTGTTTGTGAAGAAAAGTGTATCAGGATGGATGTGATATAAACAGAAATGATGCTACAGAGCTAGAATATGATTTATGTTTTTTTCCTATATACTCAGTGAAAGTGTATTAATTTCTAACACCCAAAGCTGTGTATAGGCAAGTTCTGAAAGGTTAAGAAAAGATAAATAACTACTATCTTGTTACTTAATTTTGATTTAGGGAAAGTTCTGTAAAAAACCGTAGGAATTTCCACTTGTTTTACATGCCCACCTGATTAAATTTTTGGGTGTGTGTTTTTCCCTAAATTCTACTACACTTTTCTTGCCTGGCTGACTGTCCTAGTATGAAAGAGCCCATACAAAGCACAAGTCCCCAAGCTTTTAAAATATAACCTTTTTCTTGAATCTGTACATTAGTGAGAAAGTTATGTGAACTTTCCAGAGTTAGGATTACTAATCCTATGAAACAAGATTTTATTGCCTTTAATCAGTTTCATTAATACTTGCTTGTATTACTAACTCCTGTGAATACCAGCCCTTAATTTTAAAGTTTTTATTTGCATCAGGGGGAGATGTTAACCCCAGATATCCCCTTTCTGAATCTGTCTCATGTGGTACTGTCATTGTCTCCTCATGGTAAAGTATGAAATATATTGAAGAAAAGGGAGATAAGTTACAGAGCCAGTGCACTAAATAAACCCACTATCTTACAGATGACATCATGAATTTATCACAAATTATTTCACTTTTATATCTGGTTTTAATTTTCTTGTTGAGCAGTTTGTTTGAAGATTGCCTTTACTTTTTGATTTAACAAATAGTTGAAACCCTCTGATCTGTAAGTTGAATACTTACTGCTCTTTTAGTTATATTTGGCAACACTTTTTGTAACTTGAGAAGTGAAAAATGTGTATTCAAAATCCTCATTTTAATACTAGGAGTGACAACCAATCTCCTGGACAGACTAATCTAAGTTTGAAAAATTAATTGTATTTTCCTGGCAGTATGGTAGAGGCAAATATCTAAGCAAATGAATAGTTATACTCTGGTCAACAGGGCTGTGTGTTCTAGGACAGGCATTTGCTTAAATATGTTGCTGAATCAGAATCAAATACAGTAAAAGTAGGAGGTTGAGTAGGCTATAAAGTGCTTGTGTATTTAGAAAACATAACTCAAATTACAAAATGCAAAAATTTACCCATATAATCATAGAAACTGTCATGCTGTCATCTGAACTCTGTTTACAAATAGGTATATAACGAGCCAGTGGCTGGCATTTAGCCAACAGTGATATTGTGGTAGTTCATTTATTGTCTTTCTTAAGTCTAGAAGATTCCCAGCCAGTATGTCTGGCCTAAATTGAGAGCTTGATAGTAGAGAAATTATAGTAAGAAAATTGATGCTTACCTGCACATGCCATTTTTTTAAAAAATCGCCCTGGATACAATTCAGAACAATTGTGAAATAAATTAACATTTCCCCACTTGAGGATAAATTGTTTTGTATAACCTGGAAAAAAATCAAAATTTAAAATGTCAAGTACACATTAGACACATTTCATATAATAATTTGAAAGTTAGTTATTTACTTATTTACAGAATATTATCTTCAATATTATAAACCAGAAACCTTAAACTGCCACTAATATTTACCCCA